ATGGATCTCAGCTGGCGACGGACCTTTATTGGTGACCTTAATCGGTGTCTGGATCAAAAATGGAAATCCTGCCTTAACTGGCGACGGACCTTTATTGGTGACCTTAATCGGTGTCTGGATCAAAAATGGAAATCCTGCCTTAACTGGCGACGGACCTTTATTGGTGACCTTAATCGGTGTCTGGATCAAAAATGTCCTGCCTTAACTGGCGACGGACCTTTATCCTTAATCGGTGTCTGGATCAAAAATGGAAATCCTGCCTTAACTGGCGACGGACCTTTATTGGTGACCTTAATCGGTGTCTGGATCAAAAATGGAAATCCTGCCTTAACTGGCGACGGACCTAAATCGGTGAATGAAGCTCAGTTGGCAACCCTCTCTGGTGACCCGTTTCACCGGTTCATATCCAAACTTAGCCCCCTGGAAGTGCCTTCTTCACGCAGATCTTCGCTGGCGAACGAGGCCAGCCGGGTAGATAGATAAATAGAGTAGATATATATGTTGAGAGATTGGAGAGGGACGGACGAACGGGGAGAATTGGGAAGAATCATTTGCATATTTCTTCTTAATATATATATATATATATATATATATATATGTGTGTGTGTGTGTGTGTGTGTGTGTGTGTGTGTGTGTGTGTGTGTGTGTGTGTGTGTGTGTGTGTGTGTGTGTGTGTGTGTGTGTGTGTGTGTGTGTGTGTATGCATGTATGTATGTTTCTATGACCTCTGGTCGCGGAGGGCCAGAGGTCCTGCCTGCGGCGCGCGTCGCGAGGGAAGCGAGGCTCGTCCGCCTCTTGCGAGCGAAGCATTCCGAGGATGACTTTCAAACGAATCGTCGCTAAGAATACTCTCGGGTACTTTGGGGGGATTGCAGGATTTTCCCAAGCGGAGTGTAGAAGAAATCAGTATTTCTGAGTGAGGTTGGATTTGTGTATAAATATCTATATATTTTTTTTGTGAACAGGTGATGTGTAATTGGAGACATAGTTCTAATCAACCTCCATTGATGTGTATGTGTTTGTGTGTTTCCGAAAACGATAACCCAAGATTAAGTTTCTACCGAAGACAGTGACAGTAACATCATTAATAATAATTTTCTCCTTCCTGTCTTTCTCCCGTCCCTCCCTCCCCACTCCCTCTATCTTTCTAATGCTTTCTTATCTCCCTCTCTCTCTCTCTCTCTCTCTCTCTCTCTCTCTCTCTCTCTCTCTTTCTCTTATACATATACATATATATACATATACGTATATGTATGTGTGTATATATATGCATATATATATATATATATATATATATATATATATATATATATATATATATATATATATATGTATATATATGTACATAATATATATATATGTTTTTTTTTTTTCAATACAAACATATAGACATATATATGTATGTGTGTGTGCGTGTGTTGTGTGTGCGTATGAATATGTATGCATATATACATATATATGTATGTGTGTGTGTGTGTGTTTATCTCGTTTTCTCTGTCCCTCCCTTTCCCCCTCTCTCCGTCTATCTCTCGCTCATTTAGTATCCTATCTCGTTTTTTCCCTTGCTCTTTAATCTTATGCCAGCGTCCTGGTTCCGTTATCTTGTGGCTTTCCTGTTACACAATCGAGACTACGTAGGAATGTATCCGCGTTTGTACTCACGTGGTATGGCTGTGCCTTTGTGATTATATAAAGTCTTTTATCTTCTTTTTGTCTTAAGGTAGAAAAAATGAGGTGCATTCAGGTGGCTTATTAACTTTTTTGTTGACATTAGCGGTAAACATTAATTCGGTTCTGAAATTAACTTGAAGCTTTTTATCTTCATCCACAGATTATAGTTTATGGTCAAAAGGATTTGTATCCTTTTCTGCAAGTTTTGCTACGTATGAATATCTGAAAATGACACTGGAAACAATATTAGTCAGTTTATAGTTACAGCTAAACCGAGGATTATAGAGCATTGCCGCACACACGTCAATTCTGATTTGCATTTTCTTGAGTCCAAAAACAGCAGATCTTGCCACCGCATTACGCTTTGCAAGTTCACATTATTCATTCTCTGCATTCTACAATAGGGTACAATGCATGGAGCGGTACAGCCTATTTTTCCACTAATTGTAAAAAAAAAGGATACTCTATCATTATTATTTAAATTATGCAATTATTTTGAATATACTTATGAATCAAAACGCAATAAGAAATATAGTTTGTTTCTAAACAAATATACAAAAAAATGTTTCCATCCCCTGCCATCTCTCTTTATCAATTTATCTATCCACTGTTTCTCCCTTCTCTGACATTCCTCTTCCTCCCTCTCAGTCTCTCTTTCTTTGTCTCTCTCTCTCTCTCTCACTGTATCTATCAATCTCATTTTCTTTATACGTGTCTCTTCTCTTTCCTTCTTGCATTTCTGGTCGGCGCCGAGGAACCGTTTCAACGCGACGACTGAGCATGTTATTCACCGTCAGGCGGAGCAGAGTCGAAGCCTCAGTCCGTGGTGGCCTTCTTCGGGAAGTGCTGATGGGGATTTTGTTGACTGATGGCTGTAGTTTTTCCTTCCAGTGTATGAGCTGAATAGACGATTTCTTACTGCTGCTTTTAACGCTAAGCTTTATTCTAAATGTCAAATTTAACAATCAAATTCATAAATCAAGGTTCATTTAGAAAGCATATCACCCCGCCTGTAAAAAAAAAAAATAATAATAATAATAATAAATAAATAAATAAAAAACTTTATATTCATTTTCTCTCTCTATTTTCTGCTTCTCCCTCCCTCCCTTCTTCTCACTTTTCCTTCCCTCCCT